TTTTTTGCAGGTTTTCCGCCTTCATGTACATACATCTGCCGCCAATTAGACTCAGCTTTGAACTAGTGAATACCGGCGTTTTGTGTACATACGGAGCAATCCTTTGACGTGCAGCATTGATGTCTTCGGGTAGAAGTTCCATCGCTGCTATTCTAATCTATATTATTCGCAAGCAAATGATATAGCTGACCCGTCGACTGCACGAAAGTCAAATTCAACCCTATCAGCAGCTATGGTGAAAATCTCTAAACTTCCTGCCTATCATAAGCAAGATAATCTTAAAGTGCTTTATTAAATCAGTAAGTTTTTCGGCTATATACATACGCAGCTGAAATGTGACATATTTCGTCACCGGGTTCCCGTAAATGAATTGCAATAAGCATACTCGGTCAAACCGACTATCACTGCGTTATGGCACCGCCCTGTCATTAGCCATGCGACAACGATGTCCATTGGTTCCAATGTTCGCGCTTGGTGATCCTTTGACCTCACGAAGTGTCAGGCTTAAAACAACCAGAGATGTGCCAGCTGTTCCCGCTTGTCGGCATTCCAACTCGCTTATTATAGATGAAGACTCGATCAAAAACAAACGACGTCAGCCACTGAAGACGATTCGATCACAGATTAAAACAGACAAACCGCATGCGCAAAACATCTGGTTGGCCAAATGGCGCACGACCAGGAAGAAACCGTGAAATCCCGCTAACTCATTGGACCCTTGACAGTGAGAACACTATCAGATGCGTAATGGCGAATTGCAAACCTAAAAGGCATTCGTATCAGAAAAGCAGTGATGTTGCTATTGACGAAGATTATAAGAGCCGACAGTTCAAGGACACTATGGAACGGTATTACTATAAATGAAGTGGACCATTCCAAATACTTCGCAACTGTGCTGAATAACAATAGCGACAATGATCCTCAAATGAAAAGGCGAACTGGGCTGTAATCAGCAAATTATGGCAAGCTGCATAATATACGAAAGGGTTGTACCATAAGAATGGAATCGAAGATCACCCTTCGCGGTACTTATGTACAATTTTGGAAAATTTGCTGTCCTAAGGCATCACACAGCCTGCTTAGACAGCTTCCAACAACGCCGTTATCGGCGCAGCATACTGAACGTGCAACAGTACCATCGGGTCACAACGAGAAGCTGGTGACAAACAACGGTAGAACACCGTCTATGAACTTAAACGCCCGCGCCTAGCTTGCTTTCATAAAATGGCCCAGAAATGTATTCATAATTTTTCTCACTTCCGGACCATACACTGGTGGCACACCAGTGGAGACAACACAAAACATTGAAAACTCACATTGAAACAGACCTGTTTTCAAAGAGGAATATGACCTTTACCGCAGAAACGAATTTTATCTAATACGAATCTGAAGCACCGTTTTTAACAGTCAGACAATCTATCATATCTATCATAAACCTGGGTTACTGTGCTGTTTGAACAATGTTAATATCACAAGACGATGAAAAAACTAACCATTCTTTTGATCACACCAGAACATGCTATCTGTTATTCGTGCGTACAACTTGTCATGCGTTTTTGTAAGCAATATGTGGTAAACCTCTCATGAAAATCAAGTAACGTGAATTTTGTCGGGATTCGAACCCGATTCGAAGTACTATATCCCGCTACTCCAAGAGAAGTTAGCCGGTATGTAGGAGTACTAAATATGGAGTACACTTCGACGAATTAAGTAAGATAGCATTTAATCTAAACCATTAAAATGCCTACGCTTTTGGAATACCTCGTCCTCGTGAATGCTTGAAATCTGAAATATAGCTAATCAAATTTCACAAATTGTACTGTAATTTAATTTAATGATTAGCAGGTGTAAAAGACAACTGTTATTTAAAAGATTATGTTGTTACACCCGGGAGTTCATAGGGCCCAGAACTTCTGAGTATTTAATTTCTTAATGGCGAAATAAATAAGGCTAACGTCAGCATAAGGATACTACCCTGGGCAAATTAGATGAGCCATCTCGCTGAAAAACTTTAATCAGCGGCACGGACTTAAAACTTGCCTACTGGCTGTGAAATTAATAACTGGACGCCCAACCAAATTCGCCAAAACGACACCACCAACCTACCTTGAATAACACCCATGAGTCAGGCGCTGAAACGTCGGTATTCCTCAGTCACCAGGCACTATCACGTTATGTATGTTGAACCGGGTTTATGTTGTTCGTCAGTATGACTACCAACGAACTAAAGAAATATTCAATTCACAGAGGGCGTTTAATGAAAAATTCATTAGTTTCATAATTCATAAAGAAATATTCGGCACTCACAGAGGGAAACCCATTAATACACAACATCATGCGCTGAATTATTCTGTTAATGCAGGAGAGTACTATACTGCTATGCATATTCAATTCAGTGCATGCAGAAGCAAGCGCCAAAAGCAATCAGGAATTTACGGCAAAAGAGTAGCTGAAGCACGGCTGCATCGTAAGATTACAGACAAACTTGTCGTTAGTATTCAAAGCAATATAATATTCCGAAGGCCTGTATTCTGCTTTCTTCCAATCGTCGTAAGTTCTTTGGTCCGCAACAGCGTTACTTCGTTCCATGAAACAGGTCAGAGAGAATAAAGCACATTTTTTTATTACGATATTCTGCAACTCGATCATTCCTTTTTGGGGAAAATTTTAAGCCTTCGTGCTGCATTTTTGGGCGAAAAATTGCACCATTCCGATGTAACTTTGCAAGTGATTGACTGATAGTTAAATTGCTTCGAAAATGAGCCGGAGCAATTCTAAAAGGTGCAGATGCGCACCATGCTACTTAGTCAGACAACTTTTAAATGCAGTCGCCAATCTGTCTTTTGCATTCCCTTGCCTAACAAAATTATTCAGTCGATTATGCCACAAAAAAACAATTTAACCTTGGAGATATCCACTATTTCAAATAATCCATCGTCACATGACTTACTATTTTAATTTTTGATAGCATATATGCAGTGTCAGCTGGTAAAAAATCGATCTTATTGAGTGCGAAGTGTCAACATTAATAACAACGTTGTTTAATGTATTTAACACTAGCTGCTCGTGTATCACAGATTCGTGGCCTGGTTAAAGCTTCCCAGAAGAAATTAAGAGAAACAGGACAGTGCAATACATGTAAATTCATATTTACGGTTGTTGCTATTGGTATCGGGGCACCCGTTATTCTAGGATTATACAGGCCCATGAAATGCAGGTACACAGAATGTTATTTACAAACTTGCTTTCGCAACTTTGGCTTACTCTATGACATTGACAGCAAGCGTAGAACAGATCGGTAGGAAAGAGTTGAGCCAGCTTCGGTGACAGTGCACGCTGAAACTTCATGTGCAACCGGCGACTGTCATTAGCCAACATGTATGACCTGGGCTACAGGCAGCTGCAACAGTTGTTCTCGCAATGCGGCCAGCAGTTTCTTCTGCGGGGATTCGGCTAATCCTAGGTATTAACATTACAGCTCAACCCGTTATCCTGAAGTCCTTGTTCATTAAGCCCTAGTATATCCCTCGGCTGCGATAAGTGATCAAGGAAACGATGCATCTGAAAACGAAGATCGGGGATACCAGTAATCTGACTAGCCTGAATAGATAGTAAAATGCCCTATGAACCTTGGGAACGCTTAGACCATGTTGTCAGAACAGTCAGGTCTGATCCTTAGTACAATTTCAAGGTATTTTGTGGTGTCGCAGGCTGGTGTTAACTCTTTTCCTAAGCTAATAAGATGATCAGTGAGGGAGAATATATCAGATGATCCGATGTCTTTATCCGGAAAATCTGATGTTCGCTTTTCTGATGGTTAGAAAGCCATTGTTCATGATCCATTGCTCAGTGCCTTTCACTCCATTTTGCAGTCTACAGAAGTCTGGCTCCTTTCCGATCGAGGGAATAATCATTGTGTCGTCAGCTTATTTGATACACGATACAGGACTTGTGGTGCGTCATGAGCTCACGTAAAAGAATTCAGCATGGACCACTGCTCTGAACCTTGTAAAACCTTGAAACTGTTTTAATTCGTTGATGAGCAACGCCTTCTAACTTCGACGAACTGACGCTGGTCAGAAACATAATCTGGAAGCCAACGGAGCAGGTTGTTCTCTTAGCCTGTTTTTCGGCAGAAAGTAGACTAGGCTTCCCTTTGACGCGAGGTTTAAAGCCGCTGAGAGATCTAACAAGAAGGCCTTCGGAATGGTACCAGAGTCAACTGCAGCACCTAGCAATTTAGTTCAATTGGCTGGATGATCTGCCCACGTAAAAGCGAATTGCCAGCTATCTTTCGCTGGATGGTTGCTTGAGGAGCACCGGTCGAACGAGGGCGACAGTGCTACAGGCATTATAGAGATCAACTTGATTGGGCGAGCTACATCCGGTTTGGTAGCAAGAGCGGCCTTTGGAAAAAGAGTAATTTTGAATGTCCGCCAATAATAGGACGCCAGGCAATTATTAAAAATATCTGCACAACTCGCCACTCAGCTCGGTTCTACACAGCACCAACACTTTGGCCATGACCTGTCCGTCCCAGGAGCGCTGTTTAATTTGAGGAACTGGAGAATACTCCGCATTTCAGATTCATCTAAGGCCTGGTATGCAGCAATTAGGAAGGAAGTGCCTCTGCCAAATCGCATTTCAAAGTTCTT